CCCCCAAGCACTATCAGAAGTGACAAGAAATAACAGTCACAAGCTGGAAGAGGGTAAATTTAGACTAGACATCAGGAGGCGCTACTTCACTGTCAGGATCTGGAACCAACTTCCAAGCGAAGTGCTGCTGGCTCCTACCCTGGGGGTCTTTAAGAGGAGGCTAGATGAACACCTTGCTGGGGTCGTTTGACCCCAGTACTTTTTCCTGCCATGGGGGTCAGATTTGATGTTCAGGTCCCTTCTGACCCTACCAACTATGAAACTATGAAAAAACACCTCGCTGACTTAGCTGCCTCTCCAGTGGGAGGGGAAGGTGAGCTGCCAGTGGGTGCAGTGGTCCCTGGGCTGTGGAGGGAGGCTGGCATTTCCCTCTGTGGCAGTGGTGGCCCCCTTCCAGGTGGCACACGCCCACAGGCACCTGGCTCGGGTGTTCCCGGGGAGCAGTGCAGCCACAGAGGAAAGCACCAGGCTCCCCGCTCAGCTCAGGCAAGCTCTGGGGGGTAGAAAAAAAAAGATCAGGCTCACCGCTTTTCTTGGGCAGAGCTGCTTTCCCGGGATGCTGTCAGGCTGCCTGCACGGAGCCCGTCCACGGCTGTAGGGGCAGCAAACTGAAACTCTTCAGAGAAGTCTGTTTGCTGCACCCCAAGTCATTTAAGGTGCATTACGCTGCTGAGCTTCCTACCAGCGGCTGGAATTAATGCACAACATGCTGCTGAGGCTTGCAAACACCGACACCATTAAAGCAGTGCAAAAGCATTTAGCCCACTTTAAAGTGTCATGCATACACGCCTCTCGTTTCATCTACACACAAAGTGTATGTTTTTGCTTTGCGTCCTAAAAATGCCTTTTTGCCCACTTTAAATACAATCATGGGAGGAATGGATGAGAGAAGTTTGTTTCTAAACAAACAGAATACTTTGGAAAAGCAAGTGATATATCAAAATAAAAAAATATCCTGATGAGGTATTAACGTTTATAAAAATTATAACACATTTACTGAAGTAATTATTACACATAAGTTCCATTACCTGGTATTACTCCATTATTCAGAGAAACATAAAATTACTACATACCTGCACTGATTATGGATTCTACCTGGGTGAGTGCTAATATAGGGTGACACAGTTTTATCAACATACGATCCAAATCCAAGTCGAAAGTCCAGGGAAATGTTCGCCATCTTTTTAGATAAATCAAATCCAACTGAGTTTAATTTTTCTATATTGTTGTGCATAGAAGCTGAGACATCAACTAAATAATAAAGGTCCACAGGATATTTCTCTAGAGGGCGGACTTTTAACATGAAGCTTGTTTTTCCTCCTGGTTCAAAAGAAACAAAAAAGTTTTACAGTATTTTTAAGGGGTTATATTGAAAAAATAAATGCAGCTGCCACAGTGCCTATAATGTACAAAAGATCTGCAAGCAAAGCAGAAACATTAATTTAAGAGAGAAAATGTAGTGTTTAAATATAGACCAAGAGTAATAAGGCGCCTGTTTGTAAAACACACTTAATATTTTCAATGGACTCTGCAGCAGTTTCTTGTTAAAAGTTTGAATTCCCTCCCACCCCCATTTTTCCTTTAGTTTATGTTATGCAATCTATTTTCCACTTATTGCAAACAGCACCTATGACTCAAGAGATGCATGGGTATGGATACAAATTGTGGTCAGTCACTTCCAGGCTGATAACAGTTCAATGATCCAGCTCACTCTAATAATAAATCAGTCCCAAGAACTAAAATGCCTAGAACAAAAACTAAAATCCCCCTCTCCTTACTGCTCTATATTAGGCTTCAAGTTTACCAAAAACCTGTTTCCAAAGAAGTCAGTAACATATATTTCAAGGATCAAATTAAAAATAAAGGTAGGTTGAAAAGAAAAGCACTCCTTTGGCTCCAAAAAGAGAGCTGGTCTTTCATGTCAGTATGGCAAATGTCCATCTGTCCAACAGAGCAACACTGCAATTTTTTATGTAAAAAAAACCCAACAGTCCCTACACTATTGATTGCCAAAATACATTATTCATCAGTTTTTACAATGCCAGCACAAAGGAGTGACATGCTACTCACTTGTGTACGCATAATTTCAGCATTCTGTACATCTGAATTATTTCTTATCATATTTATTCAAATATAAGAGGATCCTGATTATAAGACGACCCCCCAATAATTAGATTCTATACATGGAAAATTTATAAATTTGTTATAATTTTCCAAGTACAGAATCTAATTATTGGAGTTTTGCCTTATATTTATCCCCCTCCCATTGCTATAGCAGGAAAAATAATTCTGGTGTGGTCAGGTAACCCTTTGCTCTCTGCTTCCCCTCAGCTTTTTCCCCTGGCAACCCCTTTCCCTCTCTTCTTACTGCTGTCCCTGAGCACATGGAAGTGAGGAGTAAATCTGAAAACAATGACCATAAAATTAAACATGGCCGTAACAGTTTGCATATAATACCTATGCATTTAGTGTATCCAGGATTGATGCACGTTATCATTTTTTTAAATTGCTGCAAATTTTGACATAAGTACTTCGTAAACAGTCTAGAGGTGCACTGATACATCGGTCCATATTGTATTGGCACCAATAAAAGGAAAATTGACATCATCGGCAACTGGCTTTTTTAGCCGATGTGGTCAATAATGTCACCAATAAAAATTGTGTGCATGTGCGCAGCTGCAGCATGTACACAGCCAGGAATGCAGCCTGGCAGGTTGGAGAGCAGCATCCAGCCAGTAAGTCTGTTGGGGGGAAAAGAGTCAGGGGAGGACAGATCGAGGCCTCTGAGGTGATGGGGGAAGTGGGGCTGGGGTTCAGGTGGGGCAGGGGCAGGCCTGGCGGGGCAGGAGTTGCACAGCCGAGGTGGAGCAGTGCACAGGACAGAACCATAGCTCATCCATGGTGTGCAGGGGGGCGGGGAAGGACAGCTCTTGTCACTGGGTGCATCCCTGGGGGAGGATGTGCTCCCAGATCTGTGTACAGGGCAACGGTGGGCTGTCTGCTGCAAGCTCAGGGCCAGGGGCTGTGCTGGCACCTTCCCAGAAGAGAGGCTGGACTCAGGGTACGCTCAGGATGGTGTATTGCAAACAGCACCTATGACTCAAGAGATGCATGGATAAAAAGCTAACACCCCATATGCAGAAATACAATAATTTAAAAATGCATAAATAAAATGCTTCCCTAGCTTTATGCCAGATACTATAAAATTACAACACTGTTAAGTGAGATGAATAGCTAGTGTCACCTGGAGAACTTAACAGAGTTGCACTAACTCACACCAGTCATGCATTAGTACATCAAATGAGTGTCATATAAAAAGCCAGAACAAGCTTGTTATTATACACGTAATAACAAACAACTCCCTTGAATATAAACTAAGCAGAATGTGGATTCTGATATTCAGTTTCTAGCTACTTCAGTCTTCTGACCATACCATAAGACAAAATACAATTTAATCACAGCTCTTGCTCTAGAGAGGCAGATGTTCATTTAAGACCATGACAGCTGTAAACTTACTTATGTTTACAGTAAGAAGATTATTTAAACTGGATTTTAGAAGCACCCTGCATTATCCCAACAAGTCTCACTGCCCTCCTAAATGAATTCAATTGCAATTACTTCTAGAGACAAATTCAAGATCTGTACTCAATATGAGCAGCACCTCACCCTACAAATCCTGAAGTCAGTGGGATTTTACTGCTCCATGTGCACAGGATGACAGTGCTTCCTTTCAAAGAAGTGGAAGTACTGGCAGTGGCTATGTCACAACTTTATTAATCCAAGGGGTAGAGAAGATGGGGGCTAGCACTCCCTTGTTCTTCAACCTTGAAGTCCCTTCCTTTGCTTTCTGCCACTGACAAATGAAAACTCAGGTCATTTACTACAATTAGATGTAGCAAGAGGCATGGAGATGCCTCACTTCATTTCTATGCCCTCAGAACTTTTCTATAAAGTATCCTGACTGCTCCTTAAGTGTTATATTTTTATGAACTGTAACTATAACTGGTATAGTACGGATACAGAAACCCACTTTTAGCCTTATACTAATATCAAGTCATCTCCTTCTAAGTTATAGACAACCAAGATGCACATGACTGAGATGCACATGCATATTTGATAATGACCTAATTCAGCAGTGGGCAAATTTAGAGTTAGAGTCCTAAAGGGATAGTTCAGGACTTGGCACCTAACTCCTCCTTTATGCAGGTAAATCCACAACCCAGATCCTCAAAACCCCTACTCAGTTTCTACCCAAAATTTAGTGGCACCTGCATTTCTCAGTTTAGAGTTCTATGCATTCCCAAAAGAACTCAGTCTTAATAGTGCTGTCCGGCTCAGCAACTCAGCCCCATCCAGACACACAAACCTGGCACTCCTCTACCTAGTTTGACTGCATGGCCCACTCTGGGAAGCATTATTAAATGATGTCTAGCATGTTGGATGCCATTATTCCACTACATTTCTATTCAACATCTCATTGCTTAAAGAATTCACCCCAAATGTCACAGAGCCAAAATCAAGTCTCTCCTCTGAGGGTGATATGAACCTACATCTCCCAACTCACAGGAGAGTGCCCCAACCTCCAAGCTACTTCATTCCTTCTTGGACCAAAATATTCACACTCTTCTAGAAAAACAATAATCCCATATGAGGAAATATATCACCCTTACCAGGCTTACTATTTACATTGCTGTAGCCTTCAATAGCATTTAAAATTCTTATCCTTCTATCAAAGGCATCAAGAGATACAGGCAACAGGCCAGGACAAAAAAACTGTAGTAATTCTAAGGTTAGAAGGCCAAATTGTGCCGTCTCTGATGCAAAATTTGCTCATAAATTACCACAAAAATTTAGCCTGTGGCACACCAGTGAAGAAAAAAAATAAGTGTTCAGGAGCGCAAGACCTATCCCAGCCCACGTTTTGTCTACATGGGTCTTGAAAACCTCCAAGGATGGAGTTCACAGTGACAGAGGTAGGGTGAACAACTATGGGCCGGCCCTGAATGGCAGCATCATGACTGAGCTGGCCAGAAATTTGGGAAAAGGAGGATGGAAATATGAGTGAAGATCTTTTTTTAAAGTAATCCATTTCAAATTGATGTTCCAAAACCAATGAGATAGGATCTGCATGGATAGCACCATTCTGTGGATTCATGATTAGAAGACTCCATTAACCTCTCTCTTCTGAAGGACACAATTTGTGGGTTTTGGTTTGTTAGGCTTTTTTTTATTTTTGTGGTTAGTTTTGCTTTTTTTGCGGCTTCAGGGATTGAATGGTGCATGTTCCCTTTTCCCCTTCTGTGTGCTATTCATCACATGAGATGGCACAACACATTATGTGCAAAAATATGTAGGTGTACATTGCACATTAAAAGATTATTTTAATTGCATAAAAGCTGGGGAATGGTTAGGAACCACATTATGTCTTTGTTTTAAACTGTGTGAAAACATCATGTTTCATTATTGTCACTGAAGTACTTATTTTATTCATACAAAAAAAAATTAACATTTCTGATTCACTATACTCAACAACTTTAAATGTCTTTTTTGTTTTAATTAAATGAATGACTGCATGCTAAGTTAGTTTGTAATTGAAGAAAACTTGTTTGTTAGTCACCTGTATAAACCTACCAGTATGAGATATTATTTTAATTAAGTAAATTCCACAAAAATACTGTAAAAGTTGTCTGTCACCACCCTGACAATACTATTCTTGGAAACCCAGTAGAAATCTTGATTCTGAGTTAGTAGGCATAGCTGGAGATATGTGCATTTTTAATGATACCCATTTTAATGTATAGAAAAACTGTAGCTATTCTTCTACAAAGAATGAATAGACAAGAAATAGCTAGTCTCATTCTTGTAAGTAATAATTCCAGCCATTGCTTCACAAGCAGGATTTAAATGTTGTATTAAATATAAATAAAATATAGTATTAATATTTGGAGTAAGCAAACCTGGACGTAGGTGAATAGAAACTGTTCCTGGTGTCACTTGCATATTTGCTTCATGGTCACTGGGTACTGTTATACTATTCATGGGATTTTCTATGAAATCTGATTGGCATCCTTTTTTTATTAAATTGAAGACAGTGTCACACCGACCACTTTGTGTTGCTTCTCCTATGAAATCCTGTTCAGAGAGAGAGAGAAATACGTAAGTCATTTTTAATTAAAAAGATAAAAAACTCTATAACCTCTTCAAAGGAAAGCAAGTATTTCAAACTTAAAACAGGCTACTATAATTGCACAAACTGTAGTGCATGTCCATTGATGCCATATGTTTTTAACAGAGACAATGACAAAAAAGTTTTTTTTAAATAAAAATTAAATCTAGTTGTAATTTTTTTCTTAACAGGCATAAAGCTACCTTTAAACATTAAAGAAAATAATATTATGCATAAGATACCAAATTTACCCAAAGAACCTTGTCTGCCTATGTCCTTAGACCAACACGGCTACAACCTATACCCATGCACACATAACAAAAACTTTTGGACTATGTTCACTATAGCAATTCCAGAAAAAAAGTGTTACTCACATTCTACTTCAAAATATGTTTCTATTCCCAGGGCAACCTACTATTAATTTTATTTAATATTTTTAAAAAGAGGTGCCCCAATATTTTTAATAGCCATTCAAGCCAGAATTGACTGCATCTGAAAGACCTTCCTGGATCAAGTCCAGCCCCTGCTATATTTGCAGGCAACTGCTGACTCAAAATCACCATTTCCAACCCTTACATACAACTACACAGCATAAAACCAGGAACACCAGGGACAAGTACATCATAGATAAAAACAGGGAAGATAAGAGCACTGCCAATGACCAGCCATTGAAATGACAGGGAAGTATCTGGTGATTGTGACAGAGGGCCATGTAGAAGCTGGGATCTCATGTCGGACTGCCAACCTGTCTAAGTAGGGCAGTCCACCCAGTCTCTCCTGCCACAACTTTGCTGTTCCCAAAACTGATGTATAAATACGGGAGGCTGCCCATTTTTAATGCCCCAATGCTAGGGGGCACTATACACAGCTCCAGCCTCCCCTTATCAGGTCCCATGCCCTGCAGGTGGCATCCTTGAGTTGCTCTAGGCTCTGACTTGTGGCCGGGCCAAACTCAGTCCCTTGCTGAGTTGCTTGCATTTATCCATTTACTCTGCTCCATCGGGCCTCATTAATATTGCACCCCTTTCACTGGGGCCTCTTGCACTCCATCTGCTCTCACTAGGCCACTTACATGCTGCCCCTCTCTAGGCCTCACCCAACCTGCCCTGATCCCTTAAGAGACCACATAGGCCATCTGGCTTGCCTGCTCACGCTCCTTGACTGGCCCTGGCATAGCCTCTTGGGCCCTCTCACAAGCCTCATCTGAACAGTGACCAGCCAATTCATCTTGCCCTGAGCAGAGTTCTGACCTGAGCCCCTCTCCAAATAACTTGTTATTCTTGCTCCCTCCTTAGGGCCAATTACTCACCCTTTTGACCCAAAATCATACTCACCAAGTTTGAGGGCTTACTGGGGTCTCCCTCTGACCCAACACTTGGCCTCACCATATCTGAGGATTTACTGGGGTCTTGGCCTCTGGCCCAACTGCGGCTTCAGGTGTCCATAGACTTTCCTTGGCCTCACTTCCTCCTTCTGAGGCTTTGACTCATGCCCTCTCGCCAGGGCCTCACACTTATGCCCCACTCACTGCAGCCTCTGGGGTTTTGCACCCCATGTGGCTCAGGTGTCTGGAGATGTGACTTTCCCTGGGTCTGGGTAACCCACCAAGATGTTCGGGCTGGAGTTCTGAGGCACCCCTCCTTGCCTTTCACTGGGCAAGTAACTGGCATGGCATTTCTGGGGGACTGTCCTGCCAGACAGCCCCACCAGACCACCCTTCCCCAGCAAGGTGCAGTTTTCATTCTTACTCAGGACCAAGCAGGCCTACCTTCCCTGGTCTCCTCCCTACAGGGCTACATGCTGTCCTGGGACTGCTACTGGCTGCCTCTCCCCCAGAGCCCGAGTTTTAGCCTCCTTCATTCCAGTCTGCCATCTCACTGGGCCTTTCTTCCCCTAGATAGTGATGTCCTCCACATCAAGAGGACCTTCAGCCTCCTTAGGCTCTGGCCCCACCTCCAGGCCAGTCAGGGTGCCAGATGACTCATCATGACCCAGGCCTACCCCTTGCACTGGGCATCAATGCCCTTTGGCCTTTTGGCCCTGGCTCTCTTGCATTGACCAGTTGGGGTGTTCTGGTCCCAGCACTGCAGGAGCTGACATTCCTAGGCAATAGAGGTCCCCTCCAGGGCCCCACCATATGGCCCTCTCACGCGCAGCTTGTTTAGAGCCCCAGGGATCTTAATAACATGGCTCTACTCTCAACTGGTCTCAGCAGAACCCCAGGCCTCATCCCTGCCTGTTCTAAGGCAGGGGCTTGCCTAGCTTTTGTGTAGGCCTGCTGATCATAAACCCCTTCCCAGGCTGGGCCAAACTCTATTCAGGCCCAAAGCCTTCTCTCTGAGCCTTGGGACCTAACTGGGCACCCAGAAGCCTGCTGCCATCCCCATAGTTCCTTCCTTACCTTTGAGGTATTGTGAGCAGCAGCTCAGCTAGGTGTTGTTGCTCCCCATCTGCTTGCGGCAGACTGCTTGCTCAGCCCTGTGGGCCTGGATCTAAAATGGCCACCTCATCAGGGCTGGCCTACACCTGCTGGCTTCTTGCTCTCAGCCTTAAATGGCAAACAGCAAAGGTGCTCTGCCACAGTGATATATGCTAAAAAATCCTAGAAGGATGGCCATGCCCAGCACTACAGATGAAGGTGCATAGTCCTTGCCAATCTGACATAAGGAGAAAATTCCAGTCCACAAATCTGGACAGCAAGACCCTCTAGCTAGGAATTTCTGAGTTACTTGCAAAAGCGTCAGAACCCCCAACTCAAAACCTCCCAGCATTAGCTGTGACCAATGTTTCAATGCTTCAGAAGAAAGCAAAACTGTACCCTCTTTCTCCTTAATTTGGATGCATTGGGGCCCGGCTCTTGTTTTTCTAGGCTAGGGACAGAAATTACATATAAACTGGTATAAGTGATCAGAAACCAGTTCAAATCTGTAAGACAATAGAAATTCAATGCACATAAACCACTTTCAAAATGGCCAAAACCAGTTAAAGATAAATGTGGATGGATGTAGTATCAGACTTAACTGATTTAGGTTAAATCTATTTATTGAACTTCTGTCCCAGATTCCTTCCAAATTCCAGTTAACTCACTGTCCTCCAGGATCCCAGGATGCTTTGAACCTCCCCCCGCAAACGCCTTCTTGTACAGTGGGTGGATTAACCTAGGCCCAAGCTGTCTGTTCCATCTGAGCAGAGAGGCATGCTCTAGTGCCTCCTTGCTTCTGGCCTGAGCCACAGCAGGCATGTGGCCACATTTCTAGAATCAAAAGTGAGTATCTGTTCACCTGCTTATAGGTTCAATTTATGCAGTTTAGACTAACCTGTGAAGACTGAATTGATTTAGACTCAGGATTTCTGACTGTCTGTGGTTAGCCCCATAAGCTACCACCAAAAATCCTGAAGCATGGGACAACCAGACACCTACCACACTCTACAAGAGTCTTTACCTTCATGTGTGGATTGTACATACTGATTGTTGAAGCAAGAACCCCCTATCCAATCATATGATCCCTTTCATAGACTTGTCAATTTCAAACTTAAGGTAATACATGGTCCTTGCTCCCACTAACTATGTGACTTAGAAACTATTCCAGAACCTCCTCTGATAGTCAGAAATATTCCAATTTCCAATTAAAGTCCAACTTAAGTCTGTCTTCCTATAGATCACAGGCCATTAAAATTTAACCCCACTGCTCTACCTCGTACCCCAAAGCCTTCAGCTCAATACAGATTTAACTGGGTGAAATTCTATGGGCTTGTGTCAGATCAGATGAAATGTTGGTCATTCTGGATTTAAACTAATGAACTCTTGAGCTCTCCATTTCCCCCCATTTGAAGTATGAAAAAGACAGTTAGACTAGTACCCTATTTGGTTTGTGGTTGGTTGGGCATAGCACATGAAGTCTTTTAAATTGTCATAGAGATGGGGATGGCAACACATGACAGCTCATTCAAAAGAGCCCTCTTAGAAACAGAGTTTGAACACAGAGTTTGAAGGGTTTTTGTTACTTCTTTCTACCAACTAAGAGAAAACTTTCATTTTAGACAAGCCTAATCACAGAGAAGGATGACCCTTCATTCAACTTTAATCCATGAAATTCTGATGTCACAGATTATTCTGAATGGGTTATTTTAACAAAGTAAGCATTTTTATGATGATAAATTAAATTATGAGATTTTCTTTAACTCTGAAACAAAAGGGAATCAACCTTCTTAATTGAATTAGCAAAGAAACTAAACATGGGTTAGCTGACACTGATAAAACTCTCTTTCAGTAGCATATACAGTTAAATAAAAACATGAGGAGTATTTAATAGAAAAAGGAAAGAAAAATTATAAAAATGTGCCTGAAAAATATTCTCTAACAGTGAGCTTGGGAAGAGGCTCATTACAGGGATAAGAACATTTTGCTATTAATTTTGATGGCAGGCTTACTTCTTTTTAGTAATGATGATTAGTTGGATAGAGCGAATGTCTATGTCTGTATATATAAATAAATGTTGCAAGATGTTACATAGTTTGTTTTTTTCCATTTCTGCATCTGGAATGACCACTAGGTATTTTTGAAGTCCTGGCATATCCAGAAAATTTAATGAAGATTAACTAGATATAAAAAAATTCATTTAGAAAATGTATCTGGAAGTATGCTGTTCATTATTTGCTAGTTACTATCGGAATTGTCCTAAGCAAAAGAACCAAAAAAAAATAGTTTTTTCTCCTTGTTTTGAAAAATACTATGACACTCAGATGATCAACCACACATAAAAATATGAAACATCACTAAGATTAAAAACAAAGTAAAAGGGAATAGTTTACAAAGTTTCCGTGGTGTGACTTTTGGTAAATTGTTTTGTGAGTGCTTGGGTATAAACCATACACATGTAAAAGTTTGAGCTGGAGCAAAAACAGAAAGAGAAAAAAATAATACAACAGATCCAAGTTAGGCTTCAAAATGCATAACTGCTGATGTGATTATATTGCTTTTTCTTCCTAAGACATATGGACTTAAGATAGTGTCCAGTTTCAAAGTGAAATTTATAATACAACACTGTGAAAAATAAGCAAAGATTTAAAGTAATAATGTAGTATTTTAACTGACCCTCTACCCAGACTTTAAAATTATGCTAGAGTGATCTACAGAGAAAGAAAACAAAACAAAACAAAACACACATGCTGACTACAATAAGAACTAGACTGAGCCTAAAAAGAGAATCAAAGCAAAGTGCTAGGATAACATTCCTGGCCATATCCACTAGGGATGTGCAAAGCGGGCCCTATTCAATTCAGCTTTGGATTCAACCCAAATCAGGGACAGTGATTCCATTCATTGATTCAGATCACTGTCCCTGATTCGATTCAGCCAATTTTGAAGTGCTGAATCAGAGAATCAGTGATTCAGACAGACACAGCTTTAAAAGTTTTTCTACATACCTTGAGGTGGCAGGTGCGGCTTGTGATCAGCTCAATACTGGGGTGGCATGGAGTGTCCACAGGAGTGCAAGGGAGCCCTCCACATGCTCGGCGGCAAACTCAGAAGTACTTACAGTCCACTTCTGGGTCTGCCATGGAGCACGCTGGGGCGCCCCCTCATATCGGCCACAAGGGGACCCTGGGTGCCCCCCTAGACCCAGGAGGCACCAGTCACCAAGCTGGAGGGGCGCACTCCCCAGCAGACCTGGAAATGGACCGAAAGTGCTTCTGGTCCACTTCTGGGTCTGCTGCCGAGCATACTTGGGGAGCCCCCCGTGCTTCTGTGGGACACTCCATGCACCCCAGCATCTCAGCACTCATGAGTCCCTGCTACCTAGAGGTATGTAGAAAAAAACATTTAAAGCTGTCTCTCTGAATCTTCAAAGCTTTCCGAATCTCTCTGAATTGATTCAGAGGGTTCCGATTCAATTTGGAGAGATTAAAGGGTCCTCTGATTCGATTTGGATTCAGAGATTTGGCCACCAAATTGTGCTGAATCTCTGCCAAATCGCATCAGGGACTGAAACTTTGCACAGCCCTAATATCCACATGGAGACACTCAAGCAAGATAAGGTAAATCAAATAAAAGTTGGTGCCAGCGAACCTCAGGACCACAGAAGAATTTACATTTAATCACACAATTAACAAGTTAACTGTGCTATAAATTGTTATATGTCACACGTTCAGCCAAGTTATGGCAGGAGAAAGTGCCAAACATGCCACATGTTCAAATTCAAGTGCAATGCAAGTTCCATAAGAAATATTTAGTCTTAATGGGTGATTTAACAACCAGATGTCAGCGCACAAGGAGCTCATCAGCTGATGAGCTGGACTGGCTTGTGCAGCTTTCAACTTCCTGGCATGTAGGGAACCCGACAGTGACCAGACCATGATGCCAGGCTCCCTATATGCCAGCAGCTGCATGTTAGGAATCTGACAGATTTTATTTCCCATTCCCAAAAATCACACATCATGTTAGTTCTTCATAAGAGCATCCAAACAAAGGTTTTACACATCTTATCTTACACACATTTCAAATTTGTAGTTAATTTACCATATCATATAATCCCATACAGAATCAATTTCCATCTGAAAAACAAGTGGCTGTTTGGTTTCATTAGTCCTACAGGAGGAGGGTAAGATCTAGGCTGCCTATACACATGCTCAGAGGTGGGGATATTTTAATGAGAGAAGTTCCTGTGCAGCTGCTCTTATTAAAATGCTTCACTGTCACATGTATTAAGCCCCACACATTTAAAAATGGCCACAGGATGCTTTATCTAAACCTTGTTTGATGAGGTTTAGTTAAAGCACCCCACAGCCATCTTAACACAAGGGGCTTAATACAATGTGACACTGTGGCGATGTTACAGCATTCTAATTAGAAAGCTAATTAGCACATGTATAGGCAGCTATTGTTCTAAAACTTCATTCTGCTGATAATTAGGAATCTGTTTCCAAATTCAAGCTTAAAATGTATTCATGTTCAGTTTATACCTAGCTGTTCTTGTGACAATGTTAGCCTTTAGGTTAAATAGCTCTTCATCTTCCTTCTACCATGAGCCCAGGTTGCTTTTTCCTCTAGACCAATATGGCTATAACCTGGATACCTGACACATGGAAGATATAGAATTTTAACTGATTTTTTAAATAAAATCCTCATATTTTCCCAAGGAGGAAGCAACTTTGACCACCTGAAACCTGAGATATTGCTCCTCCCTTTGTTCAAGCTAATTTGCACAAGGGAGGTGAGAGATTCTTTAACAGCTAAGACCTTCCTGCCCAAAGGAATTTTCCATCTGTTGACTCCTCTGTGAAATCCTATGAAATATGAACTTTCATTTCTATCCAGCAAAACTTTTACAATCTTTTCTCCAATGCCTGATAAAGGGTGTTTGTGCCCAAAAGCTTTCAATTCAAGAATTTTTTTTCCAAAAATCTTGTTGGGCTAATAAAAGATATTACCTCTACCATGAGCCCAGATCGCTTCTTCATCTTCCCTGGTATTTACCCCCTCTTGTAAAGTAGGTTCTCTATTCATTGATCATCCCCAAAGACTACCTCTGGATATGCTGTAGTAAGAATTCTTCTTCTTTAAAAAATAGATGACTAGGTTTGTATGCCATATTCCAGAGAGGTCTCACCAGTATCTTACCTACTGGCATTAATGTGATTCTATCTCTTTCCTTACCCATTAGGATCATTTCTGTCTTTTTCATGAGCTTTTCATTGCCTGTTCAACAGTTTACAGATACCCTTCAAGTGTGAGTACACTCCTAATTACTAGCTTTGCAATCTGGCAAAAACCCAGATCCTGAACATGCCCCTACTACCTTTAAATGTCAAGACTACTCATAATTAGACATATCTAATTGTAATATACTGGTCTTTTGCCAACTCAATCCTCCCTCCCTCTGAAATCTCACTATTACCGAAACAACAATGATATCAGAATAATTCTGTCTACCAGAGATTGTAAATGCTTTCATGATAAGTCTCAAAACTGAAGGTTTCATATGTCAAGAATAGAAAAGCATACATTTTTCCACGTGACAAAGGTAACGATGTACGGTGAAATAGAAATTAGTGTCAGGAATTTCCAAAATTACTAGAAAAACTACCTGTTGAAATGTAAGATAACTCTATAGATTTGTTTTTGATTTAGTGATAACAGTTCTTACAAATTATGGATAAATAACTTATGAATAACAAATTTTTGAACTCCCAAAAGTTACCACTTGCCTGCCAATGCAGTCTACAAAGCAGATGGAAAACATGAAAAGGTTCACACTTTACATTTAAAAAAACACTAATTTTGCAACTAAAAAAGTTACATTTTCTCTCTTTAGAGACTGAATAGGTACTGCACAATTTCTCAAGTGCCATCTCCAAGAATAAGTCTAAACAGATTTTTTTCCTCTGTTACTTCTCAATACCTTTTCTTTCCCATAATTTGGAAGTAAGTTCAAATTATATAATTGTGCACACAAGTATGAGAACCAGGTAAAATGGATAAATATAGCTGCAAGACAACATACCTCTTGAGTACACCATCCACACTCTGGACCTACAGCAAGGCACTTTGTACATGTTCCTGCATTTGAGGTGGCACATTTATTTTCCGCTGTAGGTAAACATAAAACCAAATATTAATGATTTATGATGATAAAATGAAAAACTGCAAAATGCCTATTTTTCAAATCTGAATAAGGAAACTAATTCAGCACTTTAATGCTGCTGCTTTTGAATAAAAGTAAAATAGAATAAGACAAGCTAGCAAAGCAAGTTTATATGCCATTATTATGATCTGTAAGTTTTTAAGACTCTAATGAGCAGACAAAAAATTCATCTTTTGTTCTAAGTTTCCAAGGCCCCAATTCAGCAAGATATTAAAGCACAAGCGACTCTCTCATGTGCTGCCTTCTCTATTCCTAGACTGTTTTCTTATTGTCTCTCTTTTCCTTCAGATTCCAACCAAAACCATTTTTTTTCCATAGTAACTAATTTCTCTTCTGTATTACATGGAACAAGTTAATTGGAAGTTGGGGTTTTTGTAGTCCCATAAAAGTTTCCTGCCTGCATCTTCTGGGAAGGTTTTTATTTTCTCCACAAAGAACCACAGAACATTCTATTTCTCAAGCTGATAACACTTACTGCTCAATTAACCAGGCCACAAGTTAAAGACTGTGTGGTCTTATTTTAGAGCTAGTGGGAATAACGTCTACTATGACAGATCTATCTTTATGCTGGTCAGTATCCTGTTTCATGCCTGCATACTGGAAGTCATGGTATCACCTCTATTTTCAAACCTTTGATGCAACATTTGGACAGGACCAAACAGAATAGATCTCCTTCCAAAGACAAACTTCCAATCAGCTCTCCTCAAACATCACAACTTATTTACTCTTTTAACGTGTTCATCCTGAATGACCCTGACTTTAGAGAGTCTGTGTATGCATATACGTAGGAAAGAATCTTCCTGATGAGTCATTAGGAAGGTGTCCTTTACAGAAGAAGTTCAGTAAAGTGATAATACCCAGCACCAGCACTGGAAAGTATCTGACATGGCACTGCAGTCTCCATTGCTGGAACTTTGGTTGTCAGACTTTTATTTTCATGAAACCAAATATTAAAACTATAATTTATATTGGGAACAAAAGCGAATAAGCACAAAACTAGATTACAGCTTAGTAGTGAGCTAGCACATCTAATCTGTACCCTTTGCCTGTCAGTACACTGGGGGGGATCCAGACAGGGTGCAGTATTGCAGTTGAACCCCGCTTTCTGAGGCACGAGCACCAGCTGGGACTTCAAGTTCCTAAAGAAGATAAGAATTTCTCCCTTCCCCTCACCTTTCCCCCTTCCTTTCCTACTGCTAACACCATCCCTCCTGTCCCAGGGGAGCTCCTGTCCCACTCCAGCAGGGCTGTATGGATTCAGCCTGAGACAGAGGCAGCAACAGAGGGCAGGTGGGTTCTCTTTCCCTGCTTGGTTTCCCTTGGTGACAGTGGATAAGCAGGTTCCCCCTGCCAGCCCAGGGAGAGGTGTAAGGAGGGGGAACCTGCCTGCTCACTGCCACTGTCCCAGACTGAGTGCAGCCCTCATGAAGCCTGGCTGCAGCTTGGTAGAAGTGACTCTGGATCTCCTCTTCATCCCAGAATAATGGGGACAGGGGCAGTGGGAGGTAAGGGAAAGGAAAAGGGGAGTGGAGGGGATGTGCCTCTGAGCAGGGAGGGGAGTGGAGAAAATTCTCACCTGCTTTGGGGACATAAAAAAAAGGCCCTGATTGATGCTCCTGTCATATAGTTTGCCCATCCCAGGGGAGGGGAGTGGGGGGAAGGGGAGAGTCTAGGAGGCTGGGAGCAGGCGTGTAGCCACCCCTGCAATGCTAGGTGCTGCTCCCACACCCCACTTTGCAAGAACCTGGATACGCTTCTATCAGAACAGTACGAACATTGTAATATCACAACACACTTGTGCTGCCTTATAAGATGTTTGTGTTTTTCATCCGATGCTTTTGTTTTGAATAAAGCTGGAGTTCTCTACCTTTTTTGTATTTTAAGACCTCACAAATCTTTTCCATCAAATTATAGTGCAAACAACCTCCACTTTAAGAACACCAGCACTGGAGTAATAAAAGCAGTTACTCACACTGAAAACTCTTATTAGGAATGTATCCAATATATTTTAGTTTCTTTTAAGATGTGATTTCAGCTGCTAGATTCAAGCAAGAAAGCCAGCACCTTGTGATGAGTCAACTCTCCACAGACCACCCACAAGAGTGCTTTACATAACTGATATGTCATGGGATTGATAATAGCTTGCGAACTACTGTTAAAAACAAAACATCTATGTTTCATGCAATACAATTCTAAGGCATAATCCTGCCTACATTTTTAAAACAGTGGCAAAATGTTCAACTTCAACAAATCAGACCTATATCTATATATCATATAAGCTGTTTCCAATTTTTTTTTATGAAACATGGGGAGCAAGATTATGTGCATAAGAAAGGAAGAACATAAGGTAGCACATAAGAATTAGTTAATAATCATGGAGTTCTATGAGGTGAGTGTAGCAGGCTTGCCTTTTGGAGCTTGGGTTGAGTGCCAGGCTTGAAATCTTGCTGTTTTGATTGGTGGAGTTCATCCCCCAATCAGGAGGCAGCAAAAGGAGTTCAGTCACACCCCTTTCCTGAGGGGAAGGGGAGAGGAGTCGTTGTCTCCCCACCCCCGCCACGGGCCCGATTGAAGACTGCAACACTCGGATCCAGAAGACTTTGGGGGCGAAGCTTTGGAGCCTATAAAAGAATCTGCGTGACCAGCATGAGGAAAGCACATCCGGGAGAGAGAGAAGAGCGGGGCTTAGAAGAGCTGCTCAGCAAAGTGAAGCAGTAGCCCAGAAGCACCCCTGAAGACTTCCATCAGCGGGGTACAGCAGACGGTTCCAGCAGCTAGGCTCTCAGTGTGCAGCACGGCACACAACATCTAGACCCTGAGAGCTGCATGAGGCAGCTCGGGTCTGCAATCTCTGGCGTGTGGCCAGAGACATGGTGCACAGGCTGGTGCACGGAGGACCTTTTGTAGCATAAACTGAACTAACATAGGTGACGGTAACAGAATGTAACAATAGTGAAATGTAACCATGTTAGTCTTGTCCTGTAAGCAACATGAAAACTCCATTTTGTATCTTTCTGCTTGACATAAGTGAATGAACTTTGCATAGCCTTTATGTATGTGTGTGTAAAAGGGTGAATGGTGAGAGAATGGCATAGAGACAGAAGAAGAAGATTCAACTGTTTATGTAAGCAACAAGGGGCCAAATGTGAGTTACCAACCACTAACTAACGAACAGCTGAAGAATCCCTTTGAAACTGGAAGGCACAAAGGAGATAACAGAAGAAGAAATTCTGCCAGACGGGCAATAAAAACACTCCAAGGCTAAGGTAAGCTGAAGACAAAAGAAGAACAACCACAAAAACAGAAGCTGGGTATGGAAAAACCTCAAAGCACTGAAACAAAGGATGCCAATCCCTATAAAAGAACACTTTGAAAATGCAAAA